GTCATATTTAAATGCGCAACTATCTCTGTTTTGACAGTGCTCTGTACAAAAGAGTCCGGAGGAACGGGATCAACGCGGTCCGTGTCCCCTCCCTACGTAAGTATAGATGATATATTTTCAATTTTTGGCTTCCTATTAGAGAAAATTTTCGACTCACGTGAATTATGGTTATTGCGCGAAGTGAAACAGATAATGTTCAATAAGTGTTTTATTTCAAAGAAAATCTATTGATCTATAAGTTTGAAAGATTTTAGAGGTTCTAAATGATTTTATTAAAGGAATATGTTTCACCACAGTTGTATAATGTATCCGGAATAGCGACGACTATAAATCACCTTAAAGTGAGAGTGTACTTCAGACTGAATTTCATTACATTTCCATTTTCATATTTTTCTATGCACCTATTAATCCCAAAACTCTACAGTGTCAGAACTGCTATAAAACGTGTGAAGGGTCAAAACGACCGCCAATACATCATAAAATTATATGAAAGTCAAGAGCAGGGAAAGTGAGAGGTGAACAGGCCACACTGAAATTTATTGCGGTCTGCTTTCGATACCTATTGTGAAAAGTTGGCTTTATGAGTTTTTAAAAATTATTTTCATAAAAATAACTTCACTTATTGTCGCATCGTGGGGACACAAATGGCGACCATTTGGTTGTCGTTGCTGTACTGGTCAAAATGTGTAAGTGCCTAATAAATAATAAATCTAAAGTGGTCGCATAAACTGGTGGTGAATTTTATTTTGAATTTCTATGACGAAAAGTTCTTTGAAGTTAAACCCGTTTTGGATGAGATCTGAAACCGTTCAGTTAGAAATTTGTCGACGTCGTGAAAATCTTCGTTCGTGTTATGGCGTCATTTGGACTCGGTACCCGTGAAATTTGCCGCGGTTCCTTATAGCTAGGAAGTGCGTTGTGTACTGGATGCATCCAGCTGCATGTAGAATGGACGCTTAATACCGTCTCGTTGAGAATGTCGTCGGTATAAACCGGCGAAATAGAAATTTAAAGAACATCACTGTACAATGTTAGGAAAATTGCAAGTCTTGGAGAATGTAAAGAAGTTGTTAGTTTCAACTCTGAGCGAACTAGATTACAAAGACATTGTTTTTCTTAATTTAAAACTGTTTTACTTTGAAAATTAGTTCTGATAATAAAGAGACAAACTTTGTAAGGCACAGAAACGTATTTGTGGTACGTTAAAAGTTTGTTTGTAATTTATTAGCGGGGAGAGATTTTCAATTGTGTCGCATTTATCTGTAACAGAAATATGTTAGGGACCTGTTGGAGATCTGTTGCGTCGCTGGCTGCTGTCCAAGGCTCATGTCGGGATCAGTTCGAGTGGGGTGGGTCTTTAGATAATAGCTCGCATTTCGTTGCATGTTCCCAGAGAGTGTGCGCTGAGATACTCGTGTTGCCCATGTAATGGAAATCGCAGCATAAAGTAGTCTCGTTTCGTTGTTTATTTTACACTTGTCTGGGTTGGGATAGAGATTTTGCTTCTTAAGTATTTGCTGATAACTGTCTGCGAATGTACAAATGTTTGCGTATATTTATTTAATTACTTTTCCGTTTAAGTTGTTCTATTTTTCAGACTGCGATTGCTGAACCAGGATTTTCATGGCTGTTACTTTAGGTTTCTTTTCGTCTGATATTTAATTGTAGTCAGTACATAGAAGTGATTGTAAAATCAATGACATTTACCCGTTACTTCGATTCGGCTAATAATATACCTTGTTGTTAAGAGTCAAATGTTACACCCACTTACCTATTTTTGTATCCATATCGTTTTCCTAATAATACCCCACTATAGTGTATTTATTATTCCGTAAGGGTTGACATACGTACGTATTCGTACACCCACACACATACGTCACATATTATACCAGGTACGTTACGAGATCAGGTATCTATTCACTTTTTACACCTACATTATCTTTTCAAAGAATTAAAGGGAACGTGCGTCAATTATATTCGAAGTATCTATACTAGGTAAGTAGAATATTCCGGAGATAGTCATAGAATAAAATATTTGGTAGATACTGTTATATTCTTATAGTTCATAAATTAACTAGTAAAAACCGGTATTGAGCAAAATATACAAAATATATTAGAATTGATATGTAATTTTCTAAACTGAAAGAAATGTTTTGTAGATGTAAATCAATTAACTTTAAACTTTAATAGGGTAAAGTACCTTTAGTCGTACCAGCGCTTAAGTCGTACCACGTCGATATCTGCGCACCCGTCATGAAAAGGTGACATCTAGCGGTGGAATATGGTTCTATTCAGTACCACGGGTAAACAGCAACACGCGGCGGCTTGCCGGAATTCGCGATCAAAAAATAATGAAAAAGTAAGTTTTTTGCACAGTTTTCACTAATATTTTTACGTCATTCATAAGCAATTTCACAAAAGATTGTGTTGAAGCGAATATTTTTTTGATTCATGTCTGTTTTTATAGTGTTTTCTTGTTGATATGAGCTAGGTTAAACGGTAAACGGTTTCTAGGTTATGTTATTAATTTTGGTTTTTAACTTTGTACACCCCGCTGCCTAACTCGTACCTGCATAAACTTCCTTATTCGTACCGGTACGACTTAGGCGTTACAGAGATATTTTTTGCTAATTTCAATTTTTTCTTTTAGGTGATCAATATGGCAAAGAAAATTTATAACTCTTGGAAGCAAGATGACATGGATGAGGCTCTGCAGCAACATCGTGATGGTAAATTGGGATTCAATGAAGCATGTAGATTATATTCTATACCTAAACCTACTTTCCGACGTCATTTAAGGGGTTTAAATAAAACGAGTAAATTCGGCAGACCAAATGATATGACAACAGAAATGGAAAACGAATTAGCGCAGCATATACTTAACATGGAGTCTGCGTTCTTTGGATTAACTGTGACTAATGTCAGGAAACTTGCTTACCAATTTGCCGAAAAATATAAATTACCTCATCGCTTCAACAAGGAAAAGGAAATTGCCGGCAAGAAATGGTTTGCTAGGTTCATGAAGGAACATCCAATCTTATCGCTGCGTGTGCCAGAGCCGACATCCATGGCAAGAAGTAAGGGGTTCAATAAAGAGCGTGTAAATGAGTTCTTTGACAAATACGAACAAATATTGGAAAAACACATGTTTACTGCCGATAAAGTGTATAACGTCGATGAAACTGCCTTATCCACTGTACACAAACCTTCTAAAATCATTGCTCAAAAAGGTAAACACCAAGTTGGTGCACTCACAAGCGGAGAAAGAGGTCTGACCACTACATGTGTGTGTGCGATGAATGCTGCAGGAGAATACATACCGCCCATGTTGATTTACAAGCGCGTCAGGATGCTCGAAATGCTTAAAAGAGGCGCTCCACCGAATACATTGTTCGGTTGCTCGAAAAATGGGTGGATAACATCCGAACTGTTTGTGCAATGGCTGCAGCATTTTATAAAATGCACTAAACTGGAAAAGAGCGACCAAAAACAAATACTGCTGCTGCTGGATGGTCACAGCACGCACACGAAAAATCTGGAAGCCATTGAATTGGCCCGTGATTATGGTATAGTCATGCTGTCTTTTCCCGCACACACAACCCACCGCTTGCAGCCACTGGACAGATCGTTTTTCAAATCCCTGAAAAGCAACTACAATCAAGCAGCCTCGTCATGGCTGCGTTCAAACCCTGGGGCTGTGATAAAACAGGGAAATGTTGCAGAGCTGTTGGGTAAAGCGTACCCCAGATCAGTTCGTATGGACATTGCACAGAATGGGTTTAGAGCGACAGGCTTGTGGCCTAGTGACAGAAATATCTTCACAGAAGAAGACTTCATATCTTCTGTGCAAATCGATGACCAAGGACCATCTGCGGCCATAGATCCCGAGCCTCTAGCAAAATCTATAGCTACACCTGCGACGCGAGAAGCACCTGCAACGCCACCCATGTCTGGAATTTCAACGCCACTTGCAACTGATACGCGACCTGAGATTGGAATAACCCCAGCGATGGATAGGCCTACGTCATCTGCGTCTGAAATGACACCTCGGAGTGGTACTCCACCTGTGACTACAAAGCCTCCTGTGGCAAGGGCACCTACTACTGCTGCAAAATCACCCATGAGAGAATCTCCTCAACCAGGCTCTTCAAGGACTGATGACCCTACAAATAAAAAGCAAATAATGACTTGCTTGAATATAATATCTCCTATACCGAGCTTAACTAAAGTTGACCAAAAAATGAGGAAAGGAACCAATAAGACCGTGGAATTGACTTCGTCCCCCTACAAAACGGAAATTGAAACCAAAGAAAAGACTAAGAAACTGAAGAGACCTATATTAAATTTGAAAAACATTAAGAAAGAAAAAGGAACACAAGTCACTAATAAAAAAAGAAAGATAGACAGGAAATCTAACAAAGATAAGAAACTAGACGCTAAAGAAAATTGGTTGTGCAAACTATGTAACGAAGATCGCGAAGAAAATATGACCCAATGTATTAAATGCAAAGGATGGGTACATGATTTATGTGCAGATCTCGAAATTAAAACTAAAAATTACATTTGTGATATTTGCATTTAAAAAAATGATAGTTTTATTTCCTAAAGGTACTCATTATTACGAAATGAAACTAACGTTTTTTTATTATTATTATTATAAGTAAGACTGAAATTGATCTCGTAGCATATAAGTCTACGCAGTTTTTTAATTGTCCTTAGAATTCTAGTTGGAAAGATATATGTTTACTCTAAGTACGACTTAGGCCATGGGTGGTACGATTAAGGCAACCGGTTGCCTAAGTCGTACCGAAGGAAGGTTTTTGTAAAACCTATAAAAAACATTTTTTTAAACGATTTTTATATGTCTTATTAGTCTTTGTTGATTAGTTAATAAATGAAGAATTTATATATGCAAAGATTTTTCTTTTATTTATATTACCATAGAAATTATAGCTATTTTCCTTGAACTGGTACGACTAAGGCGACCTTACCCTACTTACGTATAAGACCCAATCTTTCGGACTGTGTGCGTTGGTCCCGCACACGTAGAGTCGGGAGCCATCGCCCATTGGTTGAATCACACGAACATGGTTTCGGCAATCAAAGTGCTGTGAAAAAGAAAACAAATTAGGAATTTGTGTATCCAATAAATAATCTTATAAAAGAGACATTTAGACATGCGATTAGTGAGCATTAAGTTTTAATTAACTCAATGAAAATTGTTAAAATTCATCCCCTAAACTTTTTCATACAAAAGTAGTCTCTAAACATTGGAAATAAGGTCTATAATGTAGTTAGTGGAGTGGTCATCGGTGACCGCTTGGGGATATACGGATTAATTAGCTTCCAACCGGCCTATCTGGAAGTCATTGGGGGAGGCCTATGTTCAGCAGTGGACGTCCTGTGGCTGATATGATGATGATGATGATCATAAAGTTTTAATTTCAAACACATAATAATTTTAATTTTAGGAAAGTTATTTCATGTCATCAATAAGGTAGTAGCTATTCCAAACTTACTGACGCAAATAAACAATTTAAACTAAACATCAATGAAACATGAAATCCTTCATTGTGAACATATAACAGAAATAAAGTTGAACACAAACAATTGTAACACATCAATGGGCGATGCGCCTACCTCGGGCAAAATTCATTGGAATAATAGTAATTCGAAAGTACGTGGGTGTGTATGAGTATTCACAGGCTGTGATTATGCAAATTTGCCTTCGACATAAATATTAAACGGGACATTAATATTCCGGACGACAGAAATGCATTGCTCGCTTTACCAGTTAAAACACTGCTATAATGGTCCATTTCAGTTCATTTTAGTACATTCAAGTTCTTTTTCTGTCTAAAGCTGGTTGTGGTGTTTGAATTTTATTTCGATGTTCACTATGGCGGGTCTCTTATTTAGTTAATCATATTTAAAAAATTGGTTATGATTTCAGATATACATAGCCACTGAAATATATTTGATTTCTGTATCACCAACGTTTATTGCAGAGACCAAATAAGACACATCAACATCTAATAATCTGTGTATCAACGGCCAAATAAAGTAGTCGAACTAGTCATAAATTGATTAAACATTCATTCATAAAATAACAATATGAAACAAAAGTTCCACAGAGCGAATACGAATCAAAGTGTTTATAACAGTAGATTGGTATGTGGTCTTCGTGGTCAGTCGTCAAGCTGGAAACAATTTTCTGTACGTCAGAACAAAAACTCCACATGCCAGAGGTATTCCGATTTTGCCACTCGAAAGGAGAATTTATTTAATGTTTTTATTATAGAGCGTCGGTTGTCCCTTTTAAATGATTTATTATGAAATTGTTATCTTTATTGTTGACGGCTCGCTTATTTTTATCCTATTTTTGAAAATGTTTACATGTCATGTTTAAAAGTTAAATTGCGATTCGATTGACTTAAGAAAGAAAAAGTTGTTACTTTAGTCGGTAAACTTTATTTTGATTCAATGTTATTTTCCAGAAAAATATATATTTTTTTACTCATTCAAACCAAATATGAAAATGTATCATGTATCTATGTTGTATTTTCAAAGGTAGAATAAATAACCACGAAATACAAGAGAGCATGACAGCTACGAAATTTTATTACCCTTAGGAAAAAATAAAGCATTACCCGTATAAAAAAATGGAATAAAAATGTAATGAAATGGACATACATATACTGCAGCTCTTTGTTTGATTGAGTAGGTAAGCAGCGAACAAATTGTATTACTTTCTACACACACAAAATCAGAAAACGTAGTAAAACTCAATTTGGAATAGGCACGTGTAAGTAAGCAATTAACCGAGTGCTTTGTTTGTTAATAAAAAGTTTTGCAGCGTTTCTTTGGTTCGGCCGAGCACGGTAACTTTCGAAGAGATTGTTCTAAAGTAATTATCGGATTAATATACTGTGAGCGCTCAGCCACGGTACTGACGTGAACACAAAACTGTTTTGCACTCGGAAACAATCAGAATTAAGCAAGAGAACAATCAAGCTCGCGTCTAAGTTTCTTTTAACGGCACTTAGCCGGCAGCGCTCGCATAACTCCACTCGGAACTAATGCCTTCGATTGGACCATTTCGTTAATTATTCGCCACTTTGTACGTAAGTAGATTTACGGCGGGCTTTCCTCGCGTTTTTCTACCCAAAAGGTTTTCTTCTTGTTTTTCTATAATGGTTTTTATTAGGAATTTAAGAGCGCTGATTTGCATTACCAATGCGGAACATTTTATTGCTTTTGCCACGATATTCGTACACAAAAGTCGTAATAAGCACTGGGAAATTAAAAGAAATGTATTGTAAGTGGGTTCCGTAAGCGTACGTCTGAGAAGCAGTTTGGCATTATTTATTTCGTTTTCCTTTTTAGGCTTTTTGCTGGTGGTCAAAATGTTTTTATTGCACACTAATTTGTATAAAAAGCATGCCATGAAATACGTTCTCTGTCTGGTTCGTATTTTAAGCTAATGAATAAAACGTTAGGGACTTGAATTTATGGAAAACAACTTAAGCACTAGAGGTATGGATGTAGGTCTATATCAAAAAGCTCGAGTTTCTGATTTACCTAAACCAGTGAATTCTCTTTAATAGCGTCACAAAGAGCGGTAAAGTTAAAACAACAAGGCGAGCGTCGGGCCGGTGACCGCCTTAAGGAATTTGCCGACGGCATTTTTCCAGCCTTTTTCGTGTTACGACATCGTGTTTAGAGAAAAGAAAACTCGCCGACAGCAAGAAACTTTGATTATAGTCTTCACGAGTGGCCGTTCCATTCGCGATCGAGGTGATAGACTCGGGGATATTTCTTTTTTATAGCCCCCTTTGATACTAATAAAACAAATTTACTTTTTTCTCCATCGGAAGAGTTGGAGTGGGTAGCATGTGGTCTATTGCTTTTCTTCTCACGCTATGGCGGAAGTTTGACCTTTTATTTGCGTGGTTTATGTTACCGCGATATTTTGTTGCAGTAAACTCGTGAATTTGCTTATGGCAGTTTTTGCGTCTGCCGTCGTTACGGTACACCTTTAAAAGCCACAAAGAGGGTTTACTGTTCACGGCAAGACTTTATACATTTCGTATGAGACAGCCCATTTCTGGTTGCGGGTTTTATGTCTCTCTTATTAGATATAAACGTGTCTGAAGAAGCCAACAAAGAGTTATAAATATATACGACACCATATGCAGAGTCATCGCCACTTTTATTATGAGAAAGTATAAATAAGGCTGCGGTTGTATCAGCGAAAACCGAACGTTTTAAGAGAGCGAAATATAGGAAACCACTGAAGTGGAGTGGTGGTGTTCGTATGGAGTGGGTATTATCGAATTAGTGGATGACGCACCGAGGCAAGTCGCTGTAATCGCCGTTCCCCGATCTTCGAGACAGCCACCGACCGCCGAGAAATAAAACAAATATTGCTTTTACGTTGCGATTGTAAATCAAAATTAACGGCCTTAATATAGCGCGGTAGAGCATGGCTGTAAGCCCCCCGCTATGAAATATGCTTGCCGCCCGCCGCTCACTGTTAAAAATGGGATTAACCCTTGATGGAAATAGTGCTAGTTGTAAGTAATTTAGCAAGAAATGTGGAAGACTTAATCTCATTTGTATGATACTTATGTAAGGTACTCAGTTCACACTTAATTAACTTACCTCTGATTTTCCTTTGGATACGCATTGCGCAACGTTGCTGGGTTCCAGATTTATGGAATCTCTCTGTGAACAAAAAACGTTAGTTAATTTCAGGATTCTGTTGTTCTGGTATTTGTTCAGTATTGGGCGTGCTTTTTTTATTAATACATACAAAACTGGCAATATATTTGATTGAAAGTATATTATAAATATACCTATATTAAAGATATTTTTTTATTACAAAAATATTCTACTATCAACGTATATCAATTGATAACTTACTTCACAGTGTGATGCGCTGATGTTATTCATATTCAGCCGATACAGTCGATCCCTGGAAAGAAGTAGGCATCATAAGCAAAACATAAAAGGAATGTTGTAAAACTCTTTTAACTTGGGCTATTTGAACGGAAAAGTTTACTCAATTTACTGCGGACTACAGGGGGATATGTTACAAAGTTTCGTAAAAGTTACCATAACATTTATAGAATCATTTTATGCTTCAAAATGCGGTTCTGTTATTCACCGAACGAAATTAGTTACCTTCGTGACACACACGATTGACCTATATCACCTATTTTTATTGAATCACCAACGTAAGCTGACCCTTCTGATTCCTTGGAATATCTTTACTGTGGATGTTTGTTGAGTAAAACTATGAATAACCAGAGGTCAAGCTGGTTTGGTTGATGGGTAACCGTAGCGAACCAAAGGTAAAGTTGATACGGTGGCACTCGTAAAAATAGCTATTTGATTGTATTGGAACGATTGGTTTTTGTTTTGTGCCGAGAAAATGATAGATACGTGTACATTTGAATTGAAGACCGAAATCGAATTTGACTTTCTTGTGATATGTGAAGGATAAAATGATTACAAATCATATAATTCTAGTCTATGCTCCTATATAATCATAAAGCATAAGAACTGGTATTTTGCTCCCAAGCGTTTCTAGAGGAAAATTACCAACTGATAGAATAATAGCCTTTGAATGAATTGCTTAGTGGATGAATAGATTTTTGGAATGGTAAATAATCAATAGAAGATTGATACAAACTAAGGTACCTACGTTTTGGAGAATAAGTATTTGACCCATAAATAGAAACATTTGATGAAAATATATTACGAAATATTCCATAAAATTTTTGAACGTTCTTGAAATAACGTGCGTAATTTTCCACTAATACAAATATCATTATAGTTTAAGTTATATGTAATTGGCTCAAATAGAATACTTATGTACAATTAATTTCTTATAGATACTTACATGGCTCCCACGTAAAGAGCATCTCGTTTGGAATCCACGAAGAAGGTTCGATAGTAAAGTGTGCCACAGGAGAATTCGCGTACATGATCTGGAATAATGAAAAAAACAATTTAAATATTATGAGTAAACTATTAAACATGTATTTTAATAAAGAAAATATAATTATATAACCAGTTTAATAAGCGAAAATAATGTTCTCATCTTAAAAAGTTATTCTGGTAAAAGTCACTTTGGAATGTCCATTGCCTATTCTTATGTTTGAAAAGGGTTGGAATTTTGCATAGCGAAATTTTTACATCACATTTTTTTACGACAAGAATATACTTAAGTTACATTTTAAATAGAAAAAGATCAAAGAGTAAAAAGACCTGTGTATTCAGACACGTCTCAACTATTTGATACGCACATCAAAGGTACGGTTGGCAATACTTTGTTCGTGTTTAATGTAACAAAATATATTTTATTACTTTGATTTATGACACTTACACAATTAATTATAATTATTGGGTTTTAGTTTGTGTGAGTGGTTGGTTTAAAAGAAATATGTAGGTATGTTTGGCCAAAGAAAATGTTTGGGCAAACTTAGGATTTATAAGCGCAAAAATAATAGCATTATAAACTATAGATATTTGCTGACTAAATATGACATTAATTATTTTAATTTTTCTTAAACTTCATTGAAATGTTTTATGTCATATAGAAGGTAAAAAGAAATGTAAGTGTAAATAGCTTGGCCCAAAACTTGGGAATGTGCAAGAATTTTTGCTGGGAACCGTTCGTACGTATATCATTTCAGAATATATTTTTCACGAAGCCAGCCGTCCTGTTCACCTAACTCTGCAAGTTTTGATCCTACGAACGAACACCGTCAATGGAAGCTTGTTTTGTATTTATTTTCGAATTTTGTATATATAGATATTCTTTTCGAACATAGAAATCCTGACAAAATTTTAGTGTAAATCAAATAACATACATTTTTACCTATCTGTAGAAAGTTTACGAAAAGTTAGAATTATCCCTTAATAATTATTATTTACAATTTTCTAATAGTTCACCTATGCATATATTATTAACTGCTCTTGGCTAACTGACAAAAAATGGTGTATAAAGAATCAAAGATTAAAATACATAAAAAGTGGATCGCAAAATGTAACTGCAAATATTCCGTCAACTCTACCTTTCAAAGAAACCCAATACGAACATATCGACATTAGAGAGAGGCACGACCTGATGTCTAGAGTATAATGTAAGTAGATCCATAAAGACTTGACGTTACGTACATCAGTAGAAATGTAGTTTGAATTGGAAAGGCGATGTCGCAGGGAATCGGTAGGTGCGACAGAATTCAGGAATCAGTATAGCTTGCAGACGAAACGCCTTTGGGATATGGTTTTGGAACTATTGTAACAACAATTTGCATAAAGTTTGACATGTAAGTTGGTCATCAGGCATTTATTGCTATTTAGCAGACTACAATTAGATACAAATGATACACTTAATACATAATTATAAAATACACCACATTGAACGTAAAATATTTAGTCATTTAACCTGAAAATTATTATAACGTTATAGAATACAAATTATGCTAAAATAATACAGTGAAGAAATGGTTAAAGTCAGCATTACGGACAATAAAAAGATGTTAGCTGACTATGAACAGAATGCACGTAGAGAAATTATTATGGAAGAATGAACGTTGAACAAATGTATTCCTTTTTATAGCCACGTAATACCAGACATTTCTAGAATGTCATCGCCCATTAAATGTAGTTATAGTTGTTGTAAGGTTTAAGTTTATGTCATAATACATCTTTCATAACAGCGTGTCTTATGTCTATCATATTTTGTTCTATGGTCTTTTCTAAATTATGTTTAACCTACAACACGTTTATTACACTTACACAAAGAAAGACGTAGCTACAATATAACGTTCATAGTTTCAGAAAGTATTTTCAATATGCAGATGGTCCTAAAATGTTACCCTAAGGAACACCCACTAAAAGTTTATTGTGATCCTACATAGCATTGACTGATGAAAAATGCACTAGCTTTGAATATGTGATTTTTACAGGAGACGCAATGAAAGATAGGACGACAAGCCCCGCATGGCGATGAAATATGTAGAGTTTAGTGTCGAACCTTCAGCGTCGGAGAATATTCACGTTGATCCCGACTTTCAGCACAGATGATCTACACACTAGACTTACAAAGTCCGTGCTAGAATCTACAATGTTTATGCTACAAAAGTTTTTACTACAAAGTTTATTTTATAAAATGTACTCGTTTATTTTATAGGACCCTGTATTCTGTATCGGAATCGATAATTACTTTCAAAAGCGTTATTTTTTACCGCTATTAGGTCAGTACTGATTTAAAAACAGTTTCAATATTTAGGCCAGCAGTAGATGTACAAATTATTGGCGTAGTTACAATAACTAGTCGAGGTCGTGGGTAATAAGCAAAACTATAATTAGTGCGGGCCTTACCGTATCAAGATCCTGGCTAGTTCAGCACGCGAGTTGTTTAAACGGTAACACGACAACGTACCCAGATCTGATAGTAAGAACTTGCCTTTTGTTGCTACTAGATTATTTTTTTCTTTAATTAGAACTTTATTTAATAATACGATATGGTAAATAGTTACTACATTCCTTTAATCTTTTTCGGCTTATCGAAGCAGAAGTAAAATGTTTATAGTTATTTTTTCTTGAAGTTTTGTTACGAAAGTATTGTACTTTTATTGTGGTTGAAGTTGACCAATTTTATGATCATCCAATCGCCTAATTAAACGTTAAAATGGAGTTGGTTCATTATGAAAATCCGCCATGCAAGGGTTCGCTTTAATTACTCAAGCTCTTAAAATTTTAAACAAATAAAAAACGTCGTCGTTAAAAAGTAATTTTATTAGCTTTTCATCATAATAAATTCAGATTTAATTTAAATTATTTGATTCAAACCAAATATTGTGAGCGTATTTATGCTTGGAATTATGAGTTTCATGATTTAATGCTGGAAGTTCGTAGCTGGAACGCGACTTCATTGTAGTAGGTAATTGTTTTATCGCATGAGCACTGCTACGTTGGTCAGGTGAGGGGTAGCAAAGAGGTGAAAAGAGACGGAGAGGGGTGCGACATGGTCCCTCACAGCTGGAACTCTTGGGAAGAAAGTTATAATAAACCCGCGCACGTTTCAAAGATCCTATCACACGACATTATTTTGGTCAAGGGTAGTTTGAGCAAACAACATGCTTTGTATATTATGGATATTGTAATTTGTAAGGGAAAACACCCTCGTTTCCATTCTACGTAGGTTACTGATACACTTAATGTCTTTCGTGAAAAGGTAATAGGTTAGATAAAGACGCTATTCAGAACAAAGCAGATGAATCCAATAGATGATTACACAGAGATTTCAATATTTCATATGCAAATTGTTTGTTCGTATGAAAACATACCTTTATATTTACAATCAATCAAAATAAATACCATGTAAATAACTCATACATCAGTCGTATTAAATCGTGACAATACGTAATAGGGCAGACTTTCGTACGGTAAGCAAAGCGTTCACCATCGTTTCATTTGATGGATTACATGGCGATTACGGTCGACAGGAAATCCGCGTATTTTTCATTTGGCAATTGTACGGTCTGATATCAAAATATCGTTATACACGGCACCGATTAGATTAACGGCACACAATGGCTTACATGGAAACTTTGGCCCATTAGCTTTCTGTTATACCTAATCTGTGGATTGGATTAATTCAGAACGCGCCCCGCGGGTGTTTGTTTCGTGTCGTTATCGGCCGTGTCTTTAACAGTTACATGGGCTAGGCAAAATTTAACGTTTTGACAATTATTTTTACAAGTCTTGATTGATAATTTTGTAATTATATTTAGACTTTTGTTCTTTGATTGGGACAAATTATGCGAGGCGATTTAATGAAAAGACGATGTTTTTGTATAATAATAAATCTGTAAAGCAAAAATTATTTGTTTACTTACACGACGAAGTAAACAAGTCGCAGACACACCTCTACTAATCTTGTCTTTTACGAATATTCTTCACGGCAGTGGTAACTACTAATGCCGCTGAGCCATCTACAGGGGGGAAACTAAATTAACTCGCTTATGATATGATATTTCAGTCACGATCTCACTGAATACTCAGTTACTGGCGTCGGCAAGTTGAAGTGAGTTAACAGAGTTAATCGCGACACGTGTACAGATAATGTACCGAATGAATTTTGGATACATGATGTATATTACGCGGGGAGAGGGAGCTTCCTACCAAATCTACCTATGTTAGGAATAAATGTTTGTATTTGGTTCGGTTAAGTTTAATATGCAAACGGGTCAAGGTTTGCATAATACTATAGTAAGGAATGGAAAGTTAAAGTGACTAGATTTACATAATATATGACTTTGTATAAAGAAGTTACGGTCTAACCGGTCAAAAATATGAATGGGAATGTTTATGAGGATGTATGGACAAAAATCTGTAAAGTCTGTAACTCTTCCACGCAAAAACCACTAAATAGATCTAGATACAATTTGGCACATAGAAAGATTATACGTTGGAATAAACTAACTGATTGTCTTACAATGGTATTGATAGCGATACCTAACTATTCAATATTGATTTCTTATACATTATTGGGTCCCCGCAATGGAATTATTTCAATTGAAAATGATGTCATTATTTGACAATCTCGAAGTACAAATTATAATTTTATTTTGTAGTTAAATTAGATTCATTACAGCAAGCAGCAGCAGTAGCCTGTTTCTACTATGAACCATATTTATTAATTTGATATGGTAAATAAAGTTTAAGGAGATTTAACAAGTTAATTACCTTTGTACTTTAATTTTATGTATGTGTTGTCCTTTATGTTGTATGTGTGTACATAAATAAATAAATAAAAATAATAAATATTTTTATGTTTAGTAATATTATTTTAATTAACTATACCTACTGAATATTATTTATGTTGAGTATTATTGTTGGGTCGATTTAAATAAATTGGTATAAATTATATTATAAAATCGTAAGTTATCCTTTGTCCACTTATAATGTTATATTC